AACACTAAACAGCCGGCTCTCACACACAAGCAAACGCCCAGACGGAAGTCCCTCCCTTCCTCCGCTCGTTTTTGCCCAGCTCCGACATCTTTTCTTTTTTGTTTACTTTTAGAAAGTTCTTAAAGTGTGCTCCAGAGAGACAAAACTTTTTCTCGCTTTAATTCAAATACATCAAGGGAAAACACCGCTGTTCGCTCAGTCCATTCCCCCCCTCCTTTTCTTTTTCGCTTATGCAGTTAGAGGATTAACCTCCTCGCCTTTTTCGCTGGGTGGGGGGGGAGCGGTTTTAGATCTTTTTCTTTGCATTTTGACAACTCACAGTTAAGCCGATCTTTTCTTTTTCAACTTTTTCGGATGGTCGCTTTATCACTCGGTGACGTCCGGTGGCCCCGCTAAACCCGGTAAAAACGGGATCGCTCATGCAGCAAGGTCCAAAGGGGCAGGGCATGGCGGGAGCCTCGTCTCCAACCTCTCGGCTGAGAGAGAGACCCCCCCCTCAAGCGCCCTAAAGCGCCCCGGATCCGAGCTCCTCACATCCTGAGGTGCTCGTTCGGGTCTCCGCTCGTGCGGATTCCCTCCTCCACCGCGGGCGGGCGAGACGCCCCTCGGGAGCGACCCAAGGATGCGTCCGCCATTCGCGGGAGCCAGACCGGAAGCCTATATATATAAGGATTTATTGATTTGCCCTTTGAACCTCTTATTTTCAGGGGGTGAGATCTTCAGGCTTGCCCATCTCTTACTGACACCACATTTCCTGACATGAAAATAATTTTTATGCTTGGAAGGCAGGCAGTCATAGGTTGTTGTATTTGAACCACAAATTATGTGTTGTTCTTGCATGCAAACTAGGATTCCAAACCACAGTTTAATGCAAGTTTCTCGGGGAGAGCAAATTTTTTTGGGGGGGAAGAGAACAAACGGCTTGCAATTAAAAGACAGCTCACTGGGGCCCCGGTCACACGGGCCGGATATCGCGGGGGGAGGCGTGGCTAATTGCCCCGGCGCAGTTTGATACGCGATTACGCGATCAGATGCGCCAGCGGCACACCACGGGTCCTTCCCTTGGCGCTGGCGGGTAAACGAGGGTGGCGATCACACGATGATCCTGCATCGCGGCAAAGAAGTGGTGCGGCATGATCATACCGGCAATGGCTAGGTGCCGCTGCCGTGACAAACAGGTTCATTGATTTATGTTTTAAGCCGAAACGGCACTTTCGCTTTCCTCTTTGTGCGCATGCGCCGTTGGGTGCTTGTGCGCATCTTGTGGAGACTTGGGGGGGAACCTGTTTGCGAAGGGACATGGGCGAACGCCGGATGCCACCACCGGAAACGCGATCAGACGCCAGCCCTTGCCACGCAGTTTCCGGAAACTAGTACTTCGGAGGTACTAACTAGTTTTTAACTCTGCATCTTCAGCGGGAAGCCTCAGGTTCGCCACGGGAGCTCTACGCTTCCCAGATGTTGCGGTGTGATCGCACCCGGAAAATCCGCCTATCTTCCGTCTCTGTAGCGTGCCTAATGCTCCGTGTGACCGCAGCCTGTGATTTGCTAAAAAAAAAAAGTGGGAAAGGAGGGGAGGGGAGGAGGGAACGCTTGAGTCTGCGGATTCCCCCAGGCTTGTTCCTATAGGGAAAAATATGGCTTGCTGTTAACGTAGGATGTGAAAGCCTTCGACAACACATTAATGGCAATCATGTTTTCGCAATCACGATCCGTAAGGTTATAAATGAGACAATGGTTTCCCACCTTCCAGTTGGGAGGGGGAGTTACGAGTGAAAAGCAACAGACATAAAAACTCAGTCTAATAAAGAATCCATGCAACTGCAATAAAGGTAAAAGGTGTGGTGTTTTTTTTTTAAGAATTGTAACAATTAGCTTAAGATAGCTGTGCAAATCCCTAACTTCCTGTAGGAAAGAAGATCTTGATTAATTTAATTGCCCATAGCCTTTTTTGTGTCTGACATCTGGGTTTGCCGAATGCATAAGAGGGAGAGGAGGGTCACAGTCACAAGTTCCACCCTACAGAGGGACCTCCAGACTCTGCAGCAGGCTGTGACCCACACACTGAGGCCGGGTCCCACTGCTGGGGCCCTGTAGAGGTTGTACTCCACATAGAACGCCTCAGCTCCACTGTGCCTGCCTAGCTGTTGGACGAATTCCCACAATGAAGTTCAGTGAAATGTGGTGGGAAATATTCATCCGATAATTACTGCATCTCGGTGTCTTTGTGCTGAATATATTTTCTGGCTCTTGGTTAAAAATGCATGGGAAATTGTCAGTTATTTGTGCACTCACATAAATAATTTAACACATCATTCTGTTCTCCTTTATTTCTCATTGCCATTGCAATTTTGTGGCTCAGAGGTGTTACAGCACCTTGTGTGCACGGGAAGCAGGCTAATTATATGTTTAGTCACACATTCTGAAAGTTGCAGGAATCTCAGATTCCGTGAGGTTGCCTGATACAGTCTAACCCTTTCCTATGTTTTCTCAGTAAAGTGGAGGTTTTTTCACCCTATGTAGGGCACATCCTCTCAAAACTGCATGCTCCATAATCAGCAAGTTGTTATAAATCCAGGCATGCATCAGACTTGCATCAAAGAATGCACACGAAAGCTTACACCCAGAATTAAACTTTGTTGGTCTTAAAGCTATCCCTGGACTCAAACTCTGTTCTGTGCTTTAGACCAACATGGCAACCCACCTGAACCCTCCCATGTTAGTTAACCTTGATTGCCTTATAATGCCAAAATTTGCAGCATTTGTAGCTGGGCAGCAGCAATACATTTTCTTTAAACATCTGAAAATACTTTTTGCATTTGTTTGCAGGGCTTCTTTTTGACCGTGTCACCCGAATCTATTCTGAAAGTGGCCACTCAGGCCTCGGCAAGTAACAAGATCTTCAGTTTGAATCTTTCTGCACCATTTATTAGCCAGTTCTTCAAGGAGCCGATGATGAAAGTTATGCCTTACGTAGACGTCCTCTTTGGGAATGAGACGGTGAGTGCTGTGTATAATTGTAAAATATAATTGAACCTGCCTTTTATTAAGCTACAGGATGACTTTTGTTATGAAACACAGGAGCTAAGATTTACAGCTTGAAAAGGGGTCTTGGAAACAGCTAGACCCAAGTAAGAATTGTGTACAGGCAACCAAGAATGGATGGGCCTTTTTTCCTGTAGATATTTGTGGCCAAACAAGGCAGTAGAAAATTTTGAGGGGTGGTACATTTTGGGGGACTTATTTTTCTTAATAATCCATTTATTTCATAATATTCAGCCTATGAGACTACATAGTACATAACATGTAATACAATATCTGTGAGGTAAGATTTGACAATCTAAACAAGGCTCAGTATCTCTTTTTTATGAGATTTGTTTCTATTCCAGAAACTAATGAAAGGAGACCAGATGTGCAAACTTATCCTGTGCATACCTGTCTCCATCCCAGTCCTTCCTGTATGCAGATATTTTCCCCATGAAAAAAGTGTACCATACTTTCCTTAGCCATTTTTCAACATCTGGTGCTTTCTGCTCTCTCCATGCTGCAGCGTTTAACATTCTGGCTGTGGTGAATAAATTTCCTATTAATCTGTTCCCTATTAAGGGGTGGTATATATTTGTAGACATTGATACAACTGTTCCAGGCATTCAGTAGACTTGTCGTTTGTTGATCTCTGCCTACTTTCACTTCTAGCTTGGCCGGGACCCCAATCTCTCTGTGGAACAGGAGAGCACAGCTCATAGAATCCCATGCAGTTAGAGGTCTCTGGTGCTTGCTGGAATTCACCTAGGGTGCCCTGGATAGAAGCTATTAGTAGCGGTGCCCAAGAGATGGGCATGCTACTGCAAGCCTTGCTGGTATGCCCTGTGCAGATAGGTGGTGTGTGCTCTGTGTGGCCTTCCCTTCAAGTTCTCCCCCTACCTTCCAACGTTCTACAAGTATGATCTAATTGCTTCCTTGGAAGAAAGGTTGTGTGTGTTTTTTCAGACTTCCCTTGAGAGTTCATGTTACAGGCTTGAATGGTTCTGTGAGCAAAGTTCTACCTCATTGTGGAGAAGCACCTGGAGGGCCCACACGAGAGGATCCCCCATGAGGAGTGCTAGCTGGCCCCTTGGTTGAAGAAAGCCCAAAGAAAGTGGCACGGGGCAAGAGAAGTGTCTGGCTGGTTGCTGTAGAGGATGGGGATTTAGGCACAGGCCCAACACACCTTACTTCAACACTGCAGGAAAACTGGTTGTTGGCCAGTATTCAAGAGGAGTGCTTGGAAAGGCAACTGAGTGCTGCAGATCCAAAACTTATCGTTCTTTATCAATTAAAATCAATTAGCACCACTAGCTTTAGAGGCCACATTTTGCTTTTGAACACCCAACTACACCTGAGGGAACAATGGAAGAACCCACCTCTTCCGCGCTGCAGGGGCTGATCTTGTTTGTATATGGCCAAAATAGCCTGCCTTGGGTCACTGTCATTTATTAATTAGACCGAACACAATCCATTCAACTTGGGACATCAGTTCAGAAGTCATTATTGCTGCTGGCCAGCGAGGGCCATTCTGTAGCAGCACGCGGCTGAAGGACTTGATTATTACTAAATTTAGTTTTTTAATGACATCATTTTGCCAATGGTTCTAAGCCATAATACCTTCCCAGCCTACTGTAATCGCTGGGATAATTAACCTGCCAGGATTTGAGCGGACTCAACTTTGCCTCGGGATGCTTCACTCTCAAATAGGGCGAAGTGCCTCCCGATGATAACTGCTTTGTCACAAATTGCTGCTTGTTTCGTCAGAAAAAGTGCTCACCTTTTTAATTTAGATGTTTTACAACCCAGGGTTACTTTCGGTACTAATCACAGTCACTTGAGTTGTCAGAGGCTGCCGGCTGTTTGTTTGTTTGTTTTTAAAATCGTATCCAAGTTTTTTTTAAATTACATTACATTAAATCATTGTACAATCATTTTACCCCGCTCCCCCCTCCCTCCTATAGTACCTTCATATTTTTAACCGTGTGCACAGATTCTTCATTCGTATTTGGATATTTGGATTGGCTTCCCCCCTTTCCACCCATTCCTTATATCCCACCCATTTATTTGTAATCTTTTGACATTTCTCCTCCCATGTCTCTTCAGTAGTTATCTGTGCGAATATATCTGATTGTACGTGTTCAAAGACATAATTATTCCATTTTTCCATTGTCCATTTGTGCCTATCCTTCCATCCCAATGCTATTACAGCCATCCCGGCTAAAACCATAATTTTATATAACTCCCGTTTATTTCTTTCCACTTTTTTATTTCCCAATATTCCAGAAATAGGCAAGTCCCTATTAATTTCTATATTAACTTGAAATAAATCAAAGATAAGCCTTACAATCTTTTGCCAAAATTCCTTAACCAAATCGTATCCAAGGGATGTAGTCCCGATCAGCAAAATGGCACTATGGCAGCTGGCGTGACGGGTGACTAAGAATGAGCTAGGTTCCGGGTGGCCCTTGGTTTTTTAAACAAAAAACACCCCAATCATCACAGCGCTGCCACAAACTCACTAAGCGGACTGGGTAAGAACCACAGGAAGAGCTGCTTCTGTGCCACCTTCTGGGAGCCTGGCCTCCCCCCTCCTCGGGATGCGCAGAGGGCAGCCGCGTTGGTCTGCAGGAGGACGGTTGGAGTCTAGTCCCAGGAGCACCTCAGAGGCCAACAAGATTTCTGGGGCAGAAGCCTTCAAGGGGCAAAGGGACCTGACAAAGGGAGCTCTGACTTTTGATTAGCTTGTAAGGTGCTCTTGGACTAGAACCCAGTGCTCCTAGCAAGAAGTCCGTTGGCAGGCCTGGAAGCAATTTTTCTCCAGGCCAGTTTGGCCAGGGATCCTGGAGGGGTTTTTTTATCATCTTCTGGGCGTGGAACAGCAGTCACTGCAGGTGTGGAGGGGGGAGGTATTTGTGAATTTCTGGCCTTGTGCAGGGGGTTGGACTAGATGACCCTGGAGGTCCTTTCCAGCTCTGTGATTCTAAAACACATGGTCCCTCTCACCCATTTCCCAGGGATATGCAAAGTAGCCGGTCTCCACCCTTGTAGGACAGCAGCTGCTAGAATCCTGTGTTGTCTCCCAGAAAGAAACCTGTCAATAAAATTAGGTCTGCGCCATTGATAGCTGCTGTAGCCCTCCTGCTTTCCAGCACAAATGCCATTAGAACGTGCAGCTTTTCTCCTGATCCTTCCAAAGGCTTTGGCTGACTAGAGAGAGTTTATGGAATTATTAAGGGAAAGTTACCCTACCCCCCCCCCAAACACTTTTCTGCAAACCTTAGGAGTGAAGCAGGATATAAATCATCAAGAAGAGTAATGGCATACCCTCTTCTTGTTGCAAGGTGCAGTCCGTCACTTCAGCAGCTAGGCATAGGCTTGAGGAAGGAAGAGAGGACAAGAAGAATTATGATTTCCATTGCAGGGCTCTTTTTGTAGAAAAAGCCCAGCAGGAACTCATTAGCATAATAGGCCACATCCCACAGCATAAACTCATTAGCATATTAAGCCACACCCCTGACAGCACAGCTCATTAGCACATTAGGCCGCACCCCCATGCTATCAGAAGTGTGGTTATCCAGCCACACCCACCTTTTGCTTGTTATTCTGTTTACCTTGTTTGTTGTCAAAACCCAGGGCTTTTTTGTAGCAGGGACTCCTTTGCATGTTAGGCCACACACCCCTAATGTAGCCAGCCCTAATGAGTCTTTGCTCTTGGGTGTGGCCTATTATGCTAATGAGTTCCTGCTGGGTGTGGCCAACTTGGGAGCCAGCCGGAACTCCGTTCCTGTGCGTTCCTGCCCAAAAATAGCCCTGATTGGCATGATGTAGTTTTCAGAATGGGCAGGTGCAGGTTGGTTCTTCTCCCAGAGCAGGGACTTGAGCCTCTGTAGCCGTACTCTCTGTTAGCAGTTACAAGACCCTGAGAAGTTACCCCGAGGACCTCTCCCCACATTACATTTTGCATGCACGTGGCGTGGTCATTCCCATGTCTCAATCAGGGCAAAGACTGAGTGGTCAGAATAATGAGCCTCTGCAGGCATTTGGGTCTTTCGGAGGCTTGTAAATATGTGAAGCCACTTCCAGAATGCAAGAGTCAATGGGTCTAATTTGGACACTCATTTTGAAAAAAAGTATTTTTAATGTACACAACCCAAAAGTGGTGCTCCTTTGTCTGTCGAAGTAGACTTTTGAGGCTGAGAAGGACCGTGCGTTGTTGTGATCAAGCATCATAACACTTCTTCCGCATCTCCTCTGTACTGTGTGTACCCCCATGTAAACTATGACAAGGGAGTTTTTCAGAAATGCATAGAGTGACTGAACAGGGGGAGAATTGTAATGTTTTAACTATTACTTGTAAGTCATCTTGAGCCGGAAGGAAAGGTGGGATCTAAATATTTTAATAAATGGAGTGTGAAAGGGAGCTGTGTCCAGCAAGGCCTTCTGCCACAGCCCAGCCAGCCATTCAGTGAGAACTTTGTAGTTCATCTTAGCGGCTCAGAAGAAGTGCACTTGAGGTCTCTTCTTCCCGGAGGGCCCACGGGCCCCAGTTCCATGCCATCCGCTGCTGGCTCTTTTTGTGTTCGTCAGAAGCAAGGGAGATGCCCACGTCCTTCCTCTGCAGCCCACCGATCCAGTCTGGGGAATGACCCTGCACCCAGTAGGTTTTCTGTTGTGCAGCTCAGTTCCTCCTAAGAGATCCGAGATCCACCAGTGGAGGAAAGGAGAGAGGATGGGCCGTCTCCCTTCCCTCTCTTGCTAATGGGCTCACGTGTAAATAAGTGATCCGTGTGCTGTTCCTTGTTACGCATGAGCCACAGGCAAGCAGAGAGTGCGACAGAGTGCAGCAAGGAGCGGCTGGTCCTTCCTTCTCCCACTCAATACACGTCGGCAACTAAATGCAGTGTCTTCAATAACAGATCGGAAGCCTTTCTGACTTGCATTGTTCTCTCAGGTTCATCTGCTCGTGATCCTTG